CGCTAACTGACCGATCCGTGCTGTTATTTCGGCCGTTTGCACAGAATACTGATGCTCGAAATCATTTAGCAGAGACGACATATTGCTGTTGCTGCTCATCGCTGTTCCTGGAGGCACACAACACTACATCACATTGCATCAACCATTCTGCAAATTACACAAAGATCGAAATGAGGAAATCCCATGAAACGTGAAATATTTGAAAATTTTCTCGAATGATGCGATTTTTTCTTTCAGCGCAAAAAAACCAGATGGCTAACCAATCATAACTTATGGATGCCGAACTTCAGGAAGACAAATCCGGTCTAAAAAAACCACTGGTCATCATTGACATCGAAAAACGAACCGTTTATTTAACAAAAATATATGCGATAGGCATATTGCAAGAGCTTAAAATGTTCACAGAGTAACTGAAAGCAACAATAAGACCATAACAGTGGTAAGCCGAGCACCTACATATGTTATGATCTCAACAATAACACTAACAATTGTACATAAGCTTACACTGTTATCCCCCCAGGGCTTATCCAACGCGGCAGGAGGAACATTCGAAGCGAAAACGGATTCACAGCAATATCGACAAATTTTTCAAGCCTGGATAAGTTGGGAGAGAATAAGCGCGTGTTGGGCAAACGGGTGAGTCATTCAATTTCTGTTTTTTCCTATACCCGTATTTGTGAAAGATGATCTAGGCAGTTTTTCAGCTTAGGAAACCAAAATCTAAGAAAATGAGGTAAAACATCTATTCTTTCCAGCTTCGGTTAAACTACTTACAGAGCAGCTCCTCTCATACTGTCCAATGAACCAAATTAACGAAAATTTCATCATCATCAACAAGCCAATTCCATTTCCGGTAAAAAGCAGCTTTTCAGAATAACGTGAACTCGCAAAGAAGTACCAATTACTCTTAACAAAGTTAAAAGTATTAGTTAATAGTTCCCACCAAGTTTCTTGAATATTTCAAGTGGTTGCCAAGAACTTACGCAGCTAATCAGTACGCTCTGGTCCCATATCTAGTGCTAATAGCTACATGATCCTAAGCAAACCTCATCATCATTTTTAGAGAATTGACAACAATCTCGCCGCCC